TTTTTGGAGACAGACCCAGGGGGCCGATCTTGGGGGCCAGCGCAGACGTGGCGCCGACCTCGCCCCCGGTGCACTCAGGTACACGACTTTGATCTCGTTGGGGTCGAACTTGGGCGGCATCGTGGAGGCGGCTGGTGTCGGATGAACCCGGATTCGGGACGACCGAAGAAAGTTGCACCTGAGCCTCCGCCGAGCCGAAAACCGAAAGCCCCTGGTGCCTTTCACTGCCTGATGCTGGGAGTGTGCTGAGACTCAGTCTACCCTTCTTTGATGATGATTTGCTTGCTTTTTGTTGTTGCTGTTTTGAGTTAGGCTCCCACTATGTTTGAGTTTTGAGTTAGGCTCCCACTATGTCACCCAGGCTACAGTGCAGAGGCATGATCATGGCTCACTGTGGCCTCTATCTTCAGAGCTTAGGCAATCCTTCCACCTCAGCCTCCCGAGTAGCTGGGTCTACAGGTATATGCCACTACATCTGGCTAATTTTTTTATTTTTTGAGATCTTAACTATGTTGCCTGGGCTGGTCTTGAGTTCCTGGGCTCAAACAATCCTCCCACCTTGGCCTCCCAAAGTGCTGGAATTACAGGCATCAGCCATCACACCCGGCCTGCTATGTTTCAAATATTATCTCCGCTTGATGGACTGAAGACGGTGCAGAAATTAAAACAGTTCTGTTTGTGTAATGACTCCTTTTAAAACAAATTGTGGTAAAAACACATAGCAGGAAGCTTAGCATCTGGATCACTGTTAAGTCTACTGTTAGTGCCGCAGCATTAAGTATACTCCAGCTGGATGCAATGGCTGTCCAAGAACGTTCATCTTGCAAAACAGAAATCCGTCTCCTCCCTAGATGGTGCTTCCACTGCTCTCCCGCCCCCTCAGCCCCCAGCAGCCAGCATCTACCTCTTGTTTCTATGAATTTGACTATTTAGATACACCATGTAAGTGGAGGCATGCGATGTTTTTTTTGTGACTGGTTTATTCCACTCAGCACAATGTCCTCATGGTCCATGCAAGTGCTAGCGTGAGTCAGAATTCTCTTCCCTTCTGGGGCTTCCTAATATTCTGTCATGTGTATGTATACCCATTGTGCCGATCTGCCTGCCGATGGATGCTTGGGTGGTCTCCCTCTTGGCTACTGGAGCAGTGCTGACTCGGACGCAGGTGACCAGCATCTCTGGGAGATCTTGTCTCAGTTCTTCCAGTTCTTACCGACTCCTGGGTTGCATGGTAGTTCCAGGTGTAGTCTGAGTGACTGCCATGTCATTTTCCACATCGGCTGCATGATGTTATATCCCCAACACCACACAAGGGTTCCCATTCCTCCACAGCCTCGCAGCACTTATTTTGTTTTCTTTTTTTTTGAAATTTTTACTAGTCTTCTTTCCTTTTCCCGTGACAGAGTATATTTTCTGCTTTCTTGACAGCAGTCATCCTACCAGGTGAGAAGTAGATAATACTCTTACACGGGAATCTGTTTTCTTACTGAGTTCTTTGTTATCATTATTAGAGTGAAAAAATCCTAGTGACTAGCTGAACACTGGCTCATGCCTGTAATCCCAGCACTTTGGGAGGCAGAAGCAAGAAGATTGCCTGAGCCCATAGGTTCGAGACCAACCTGGACAACTTGGCAAGACCTCGTCTCTACAATAAATCAAAGAAATTAGCCAGGCATGGTGGTTCCTGTAGTTCCAGCTACTTGGGAGGCTAAGGTAGAAGGATCACCTGAGCCCAGCAGGTGGAGGCTACAGTGGTCGTGATCATGCCACTGCACTCTAGCCTGGGCAACAGAGTGAGACCCCAACACACAGACACACACACACTCCTAGTGACATAACGTGCAGATGTAATGGGAGACAATTTTGAAATATTTCAAAATGGACAAAGTTTTGACACGGTGTTCACATGCTACCTGTTCCTTTTGCAGATCTCCGGGACATGACACTGCCTCTCCAGGCTAGCAAAAAGGCCCCAGGACTGTTGGTGGGATGGAAGGCCCACTGCAGAGGCAGGGAGTATGGGTGCCAGGGCCAGGCGTGCCTCCAGGGTACCCCAAGATCCCGGGCACTGCTTCTGGCTCCACCATGAGTGGCCGTCCAGGGAAGGTGCCTGCATGCCCAGTGAGAGCCCACGAAGGGCAGTGCCTGCATCCCAGGAGCACACAGAATCTGCCAGCTCTCAGTAGCCACTGCACATGCCTCCGATCCTCACTGGCTGCCAGTTACTCGGGTCCTTCCCCGGGGCCTGGCCCTTCAGGTCCAGGCCTCGAACTCTGGCTCAGTCCCACAGATCTCCTTGGGTGTCTCTGTGCACGTGCCCTGGTCAGGTCCATGCCACCCCCAACACCCCACCCCCCGGCCTGACCAACTCACCTCTGAGCCCTCCTCAGCACCTGGCACTCCACAACCTCGCCAAACACCTCGAAGCGCCTCCTCAGCTCCCGGGAACTCATGTCACTGGAGAGATTCCGAACACACACCACACGGCCTTCGCCCTGCCGGGAGGACAGAGAGGAGCCATCACTGCCCGGCTTCCAGGGCCCCTGGGTGGGGGCCTCCCATGGAGGTCTCATCCCAGGCCATGATGTCCGACTGAGTGTGACACCAGCTGGCGTTGGAGAGAGGACAATGACAGCCCCTGTTCCAGAGGGTCTGCCCTGCTGTAGAGAGAGGCTGCCGAGTGCCGTAGGGAAGTGGCCCCCAAAGGAAGCAACAGCTTCCACTGAGGAAGTGAGTGGATACTGGGCCGAGAAGGGACAGGGGTTGATGGCCACGAATATAACTGCACATGCAGTGGTGTCTGCGTGGTACAGGGAGGGACCACACGCTGTTGAGGACAGGCACGGGGGGTTGGGTCATCTGAGGGAATGTGCTGGAAGGGAAGGTGGTAAGACAGGGCTCAGAGCCACCATCTTTGGTTTGCCTGGATGAAGTGACAGTGTTGACACTAACAACAAGTGGTTAACACAGGAGTGCCTTGTGCCCTGCCAACAGGTGCCGAGAACAGCCAGTCAAGGGGCATCGGGGGAAGCTGGAACCTCCTCCCACCCTCTCATCTGTGATTTGTCCGGGTTGAAGCCACTGCTGCTGGAAGAGGTATTGTGACCTGCTGGAGAAACTCTGGTCTTGTTCCCAGAAGCCTGACGCCTAGGTTCCCTATGCAAAACCGACAGCTCCTGGCTGGGACGGCCTTTCTCAGGAGACAGGTCAAGGTCAGCGGTTCCAGGTGTCCCACCCATGACCACAGAGAGAAAGGAAGAAAACCCAGATCCAGCCTGCAAGCAGGGCTCTGCTGTCCAGTCACAGGACAGGACACCCCTTGCCATGCCATGACCATGTCCAGGCTCAGCTCCCCTCCCCAGCCTCCCTGCAGCTTCTTGAGTTCACAAAGCTCTTCCTCAGCCCTGCCCCAAACACTCCCCACTCCCATCTCTGCTGGGTCACGCCTCTGCACCCCTCACGCCCAGCCCCTTGAAGACACCTTTCCTGACCCCCCACATAGGAGCTCCTCTCACAGCCCGAGCATGACCGGCCGCTTGTTCCAGACATCGTTGTGACACTGTGAACTCCATGGTGCTCACCCAGTCTGCAATTACACTGTTGGTGAGTCTCCTGTCTTTTTCTCCGTTCTGGCCAGCCTTGAGAGTGGGGACCTCTTCTATCTTGTCACTGCTGTCGCCCAAAGCCCAGAACAGTGCCGCGCTTGTCACGGTGGAGTGACCACACACGGACTCAAAAAGAGGCCCCATGTGGGGCCTATAGCTCTAAGCCCCTGCCTGCAGACTGGTGCCTCTGGGGTGTGCCCTTCCCACCCCTGCTCCCAAAGGGTTATGTTGTGGGGAAGATCCCATGGGGTGTGGTTGTCTCCTTGTGTCTCGTCCCACTCCCCCCCTTCCTGTCCAGTGACATGTCAGAGCTGGCTCCACTCCCCACGCCAGGCTCTGGTGTGTCTTCTCTGTGGACTGACGCTGGGAGAGGAGGGGGAGGTGGGTCAGGAAGAAGGGCTGGCTGTCTTGGTCCCTCAGCCCACATCTAGTCAGGGACCCTTGGGAGGCCCAGGCCCAGCTCTCTACACATAGATGCATGAAGCGAGGCTCAGGGGGCGTCACCCGCCCACAGCACACAGAAAGTGCCGGCAGGGCTGGCTTGAGACCTGGTCAGCCTGGCCCTGATCCCCACTCCCTGGGCCCTCTCAAGGCCTCTGATGCTGAGCCTCAAATTGACACCAACTGCATGCCCCATGGCCAGTGTCTTGGCTGGACTTTGCATGGTACCACAATGGATGAGCTTTGGCGACTCGTGCTTTTCAAAAGAGAAACACATCACTGTCCTCTGCAGCCACAGTCCCTTTTCCCTGGGCAGGGGCTGAGGCCGAGGGGCTCCCATCCGGCCCCCGTGAAGCCCCCACACAAGCTGCTACCCCATTCACTCTAGGCCCAGGTCACTTACAGTGGCCTCTTCCCGCCGCTTCCTGACGTGCCGGATGCTGGGCGTTCTGTCTGGACACGGCCCTCTGCGCTCACATCTGTCAGTGAACAAGTAAAGCAGAGGCACTCACTCTCGGGAGGGAGCAGGTGGGCAGGTCTGTGCCAGGAGCGAGCGACACCCAAGGATGTGCTCTGGGGTACCCGCCTGGATCCCCGCCTGCAAAAGCTCGCCTCCCCTGCAGCAACCACGTCTGGGGCCACATGCGGGTGTGAGCGAACGTGGAGATGTGGGCCTTCTGCCAGATCCCAGGCCTTGGTCGCCGGGCACCTGAGCTGTTGTGACAGCCCTGCCCTGGGTCCCGCCTTCCTCTGCCACGAGGGGAGACAAGCCCTTTCAATTCATTGCCTCGCTTGTTCTGATAAAAGTAAAAACCCAGTGAGGTCTTACATGGCCCCATCTTCCAGATGAAACAACCAAGGCTCATGTTCAAGATGGAACTTGTTTAAAGCTGGAGGATGGGAAGTCAGGGCTGGAGACAGGTCCTCTGCCTCTGGGACCGCTCTCTCTGGGGCTCGGGCCTTGGTCAAGCAATGGCCCCTGCCCATCGAAGTCCCCGCTTCCCATCCAGCTCTCAGGCTCACTGGCCCGAGCAGGTCCTGGGCCACCCACCTGCCGCTGCCCTCACCCTCCAGGCTGAGTGTGAGAACATCATAGGGGCTGCGGACACAGCTCGGGAGGCAGACAGCCTCCACCCCTCCCTGCCGGGGACCCTGGGCAGCCACAGAGCCCTCTTGGCCTCAGTTTTCCATCAAATAGGGAGAAACAATGGTGTCCATCTCCTTGGCCATCTAAGAATTAAATCAGAAAACGTATGTCATACTTAGCCCAGGGACTGCTTGTTAAACCTCTACTTTTCTCTTTAACCTCCTGAGCCTCAGTTTCCTGGGTAAGAAGCAGATGCGCCCTCCAGGTGCACCTGTGATGCTCACATAGGGTCACAGAGGGGATGTGACTTGCAAACTGTAGAGTGCTGTGTAATTATAGAACCAGAATATCTGCCCCACTGGAAGAGGCAAGTGACCGGCCAGTCTTGCGGGGCACAGGTTGCTGACCCATTCCCAGGGACATCCTGTCAGGGGGTGTTTGCCAGAAGAAGCACAGGTCTCCAGAAGGCCAACAGCAGGATGGCTCGGTGCCCCAGGGTGGCGCTCAGCAGTGAGCTGAGCCAGACCTAGGCTCACCAACTCACCTCCTCCAGAAGGCAGAAGAGCCAGCCCTGAGCCTGACCCTGACCTAGCCCCGAGTCTGACCCTGACCCAGCCTCAAGAAGAGAAAGAAAAGAATCCACAGGGGTCTTCCCAGGCCAACTAGGGAGCAGGGAGCACAGACCCTGCCCGGAGCTAGGCGGGACATCTTGAGCTCTGCCCTGGTGGGCTGCGTGCCAACCCAAAGAGAACCCTGGATGCCGCCTTTGTGGAGACTGGGTGGTTTGGCTTACAGCACAGCAAGGCTGATGCTGAGCCCCTGACCCTGGAGGGCTGAAAGGCAAGAGACCCCGGGGAAGGACAGAGCTAGAAAGGGGCTCAGAGTGTCACAAGAAGGCAGCTCACAGGGTCCCAGGCATGCAACCTAGAAGGATCTGCTGTCTGCCCTGCCGGAAGCTCACTGAAAGGAGCCGAGCATGGAGGGCTCTTAGCATTCACCTGTGGGAGCCCACGAACCCGCTAAAACGGAACAACAGTCAGATGTGTATGCACATTGTCATGGAGGAGACCTTTGCTTTCATCAGACCATCCATGTCGACATGTGGTGCAAAGCAAGCTCTCTCTAAGGAAAGTTCATTCTAAGGACCTGCACTCTGAGTGAGGTGCTCTGGCAACACCATCCTCACCCCCCAGGAATGAGTCAGAAATGTCAATTTTCGGCCCCACCCCAGACTACAGGGGCGGGCCAGCAGGCTGGACCTAGGCACGCCCCAGCAGGCTCTGTGGCTCTTGACCCCAGACCACAAGAGGGGACACTGAGATTCACCCTCAGGTGTCCCCAGGGAAAGCCCGGGCCTGCTGTGGTCAGAGAGAGACCACGAGCCCCAGACCTGCTACCTCCACTCCTTCTGCCTCCTCCCCAGCTGACTGTTCTGAACTGGCTACTTCCCAAGTCGGGTCCAGGGGGCAGATAGGATGTGTCACCCCTCGCTCAGGGCCCAGCTTTTGTTGGGAAGGCCACGCCGCTCAGCAGGACCAGGAATGGGAATAAAACTATCCCTGTTTTAGGTCTGAGTATTTTTCAATTAGGCTAAGCTTTCTTTCACATGTCAACATCACTAGGTTGCAGGCTGCCAGGCAAGTCCTGTTGCACAAAAGCCTGTTTCACCAATATAAAAGCAGAAAACACAGGGGAGTAAGGGACACGTTCCAGTGGGCAGAGGGCCACCGAGAGCAGGCAGTGGGCCTTCCTTCTCTCGGAGGCCAAGACATGGGAGACCCTCCCAACTTCATGGGCTCTGCGTGGCGCCAGGACCCCACACTGTGCCCCAGGGAAGGAAGGAGACCATCGACCAGACGCGGGCCACACGGGGACTGCAGCCATGGCTTCAGAGCAGGCCCCCGGCTCCTCTCTCCCCTGGCACCTGGGGAACAGGGACCCCTGCGCCCAGCGCCCCTCCTGCGGCCCCGTGTTCATACCTGAAGTCCCACCGGGAGGCTGGGGACCAGGAGCCTGAGCTGGAGCGGCTGCGGGAACACGGCTGCCGGCCAGCCTTGCCTGGTGGGCTCTGGTAGGGGCAGTGGTCAGAGCGGGGGGGACTGACTCCCAAGTCCTCTTCCTCATTGTCGTCCTCCTCCCCCTCCTCCTCCAGGAGGAAACTGCTCTCCCCACTGCTGCTGCCGCTGTCCTCAAAGACTGTGTCATACTCGGGGCTCTTGCACGAAGCCAAGTCCTCTTCCTCTTCCAGGGCGGCCTCCAGCATCCCAAAGTGCTTGGTGAGGCTGGCACGAATCTCGTGGTCCCTTAGCAGTGCGCTGTCCTTGGGCAGGGTGCCTGCGTCGCCGCCTCTGCCTTCCTCCCTGCTGGGCGCCTGTGCCTCGGCCCGAGGGGCACCCTGCTGCGACCAGTCTTCCAGGCGGCCCCCGGATGGCTCCCAGGACCTCAGTACCTTCCTCTGCAGGACACCCTCTGGCCGGAGCACCTGGCAGTAGTCGTGGTCTCCGAAGGAACAAGAGAAGGGGCGCTTCTGGCCAGGTTGCGAGGCTGGAGGGGCCTCGGCAAGCCGCAGGCGGGACAGGAGCTCGCTGCGTTCCGGGTGCTTTTTTAGCAGCTTGTGACCGGTCCCTAGGGTGGCCCCAGGCGGAAGGCTCTCAGAGCAGGGAAGGCTGGGCCCCAGGACCCTGCCTGGGCTGTGCTTGATGTCCGGCTTGAAGGGGTCCTCCTCTGGGGGCTTGTATGGGGGCGTGGTGGGCGGAGTGAGTCCTGGCAAGAGGAGAGGCGTGAGAAGAGGACAGGTCACTTCTCCAAGGGACACAGACCAGATTAGGAAGGGCAAAGACATGGCCATGTGTGCCACTTGCCCCAACACGGAGGGCAGCGTCCCTGGCTATCACCGCACGGCTGAGCCTGGACTTGTGGATTTGGGATGCTGTGAAACCCGTCTGCTATCCTTCCTGTGACCTGGGGACAGCAGCAGAAGCCCCATGCCATCTGAGACATCCCTTCCTGCTCCAGAGCCAATCCTTCAAAAGGCTCTGGACAGGACCCCTCGGATGCCACCTGTCTCCCAGCATGGAAGGGGTGGGTGCCCTGGCCAAACCACCGACCTGGGCTTCATGCCACAGGGCCCCTCATGTTCCTGCATCCGAACTGGGCCACCACCTCCCCAGTGCCTCAAAAGGAACTTGCTAAAGTGCCCATCCCTTGCTCCCTGGGGCACCCAAAGCCTCCAGGACAAAGACTGAACACCTTGGCCTCCTGGTCCTTTTGGGATAGCTTTTTTTTTTTTAAGTAACTTTTTTGTTGGTAGAGACTGGGTCTCGCTATGTTTCCAAGCTGGCCTCGAACTCCTAGCCTCAAGTGATCCTCCCAGGCAGGAGCCACCAGCCTGGGCCTGAGGACTGCTCTTTCTCAATGCCCTAGTTGACCATGCAGCGAGCCCGAAAGATCGGTGTCTCTGGCGTGCCCTGGGCTTCCCCACTCCTTGCCTTTGGTCGGACCAGTTCTGCCTCTGAGCACACCCTTCCCTTTCTTAGTCTTTTCTGTATTCAGCCATTCTTCAAGCCCAGATCAAATGTGTCCTGTTCTGGGTTCCATGTAAAGCCCTTTGAGGCCACACCCCTTCCCAGCCCTGCCCCTCTGCTGTGTGCACATTCTGAACCAGTCACATTAAACAGTATGTCTTTGTCTTTCCCATCAGACTGTCACCTCCAGACCCCGAGATCACCTTCTGTGCCAATTACCGGCAGCTGAATGCTGAGTCCTCCTTAGAACACCCTCACTGTGTCTCAACACCTGGTCTAGCTTGGGGAGCAGTGGCAGAGGGCTCCCAGAGGAATCCCCACTGCCCAAGGAGCTGCTTCTAGTAGGGGATTCATTGCTGGGGTCTTGCTCACTCCCCCAAGGGCAACTGCCAGCGGGCCCCAGCTCACCTGCTGTGCCACAGAGCTCAACTGTCAAGGTCTGCTCAAAGCTCTTCTTGCCAAAAGGAGGGTCGCTGGTGGGGACAGAGGACAGGAAGGAGGGAGGCAGGTCAGCGGCAGGAGTCCAACGCCAAGCACGTGGATACACAGGGGGCTAGGGTGAGCCCTCGGACATGGAGCCTGGCCGTGTTTGCTGGGGGCCCCCAACCTGACTAGAGGAATTCAAGCTGCACGGCTCTCAGAGGATCCAGGTGAGGCTCACGGGAGGGTAGTCAGGGGACCAGTGCGGTCAGCCTCCTTAGTTTACAGACGAAGCCACTGAGGCCCGGGGGAAGCCACGCGGCATTGCCAGAAAAGGAGTCTTTCCAGGGTCCAGAAAGGGCAGCTCATGAACCGGCCCGAGGACTCGTTCCCCACCTTTCCTGGGGCCTGCAGTGGTCACTTCTAAAAATGAGCCCCTCCCAAGGGAGCCAGCTCCTGAGCATCCCCAGTGACAGGAACGGGGTCTGGGGCAGGCCAGGCTCAGGGCCGATGACCCTCCCCACTATTCCCACTAGACAGAATCTCATGAACACACCGAGAATTTCTAAGAATCTACCTTTGCGTCAAGGCCAGCATGAGGCACCTGGGAGAGTCTGAAAAGACAAAAAAAAAAAAAGAAAACTAAGCGTTCCCAGCGTGGCACTACTCGTAGTGCGCCCCTCTGGAGGGGCCCCGGACTTCCTCTGCTGCCAAGGGCAGGAGACCCAAGCAGGAAAGGCAATGAACGACTGGAGTCTCCCTCCCACCGAGGCTCATGGCTTTGCTTGACTTTGCAGAAAAAAGAGGAGCGTGAGGGCGACCTCTTCCGGCCAAACAGTGCAGTGCAGCTGCCAAGAGCTCAGACCCGCATGTCTGGCCGCTGCAGGCTCTGGAGACTCACTAACCAGTTCTGGGCCTCCGTCATTGTCTTTTTAGTTGGGGTCTCACTCTGTTGCCCAGGCTGACGCAATCACGACTCACTGCAGCCTCGATCTCCTGGGTTCAGGTGATCCTTCCTCCACCTCAGCCTCTCAAATTATTGGGACTACAGGTGTGCACCATCACGATCATTTTTTTTATTTGTAGAGAAGAGGTCTTGCTATGTTGCCCAGGCCGGTCTCAAACACCTGGGCTCAAGCAATCCTCTAGCCTTGGCCTCCCAAAGTGAACCACCACACCCGGCTTGTCTCTGTATCTTTTTTTTTTTTTTTAGTCAGAGTCTCACTCTGTAGCCCAGGCTGGAGGGCAGTGGCATGCTCACGGCCACTGCAGCCTTGACCTGCTGGGCTCAGGCAATCCTTCTACTTCAATCTTCCAAGTAGCTGGAACTACAGGTGCACTGGCTTTTTTTTTTCTTTTAATTGGAGAGATGAGGTCTCACCAAGTTGCCCAGGCTGGTCTCGAACCCCTAAGCTCAGGCAATCCTCTTGCCTCAGCCTCCCAAAGTGCTGGGATTACAGGCTTGAGCCACCGTGCCCAGCCTCTGTATCTTAAAGTGGAGACAATAGCAGAGTTTAGCATGGAGGCTTCCCGTGTTACATCTGAGACCAGGCCAGGCATGGCAAGTACACGATAGAGAACTGTGGCTGTCATCACCACCACCTGCCCATTTTCAACTCAGCTGCACTGTGGGGCTAATTGCACAGATTCACACCACTGTCTCATCACCCCCACGAGCCTTTTGATAGTACCTATCATCTTCATTTTCTGTTTACTTTCTGACCGCCTGTGAAAGCATAAGGCCTGTGAAGGCAGGCATCTCTTTAAAATTTTTATTATTTTTTAGAGACAGGGTCGTGTCCTGTCACCCAGGCTGGAGTGAAGTGGTGTGATCATAGTTCACGGCAGCCTTGACATTATGGGCTCACGCAATACTCTTGCCTTAGCCTCCCAAGTAGCTGGGACTGGAGGTGTGGATTTTTTTTTTAAATACATATTTATAGATACGAGGTCTCACTATGTTGCCCAGTCTGGTCTCAAATTCCTGGTCTCAAGTGATCCTCTTGCCTCGACCTCCCAATGAGCTGGGATTACAGGCTTGAGCCACCATGCCAGCCAAGGCAGGCATTTTGCTTCTTGCCCATGCGTGAGAAGCTCAAAGAAGGTGTGTTTTTCTGCACATCCACCCCAACTAGCTCAAAGCCAGAGCAGGGAAAGGATTCGCCCAGCCTCGCAAACCGTAGCAGGGGTGGGGGACATGTACTTGGGGCTTGTGGCTCCCAGGGCAGGGGACACACCACACCCCACCCCTGCCCTCTCTCGCAGGCCACTGCCTCTGACTACCTCTGGTGGGGAGCCGTGGGCAGCTGGGGTCCTCCTCCGTGTCCCCACACCCGCTCTCACAGGGGCTCTCCATGGCAGGGGTCTGTGGTCCCCGCGGGAGATGCTGGTCTCCACCACCGTCCTCGTGCATGGGGCTGCCCGGCTCCCCCTCCATGTCGTAGGCCTGGGGAGCCAGGCAGAGTGAGGGCAGAGCAGCCTGGGGCTCCAGGGGGACCAGTGGCTCATCGGCAAACGTCAGCCAGGAGCCCAGCTCAGGGTTCAGTCTCCGCGAACGCCTCACGGGGTACACAGAACCCTCTGGCTCCCTCCCCAGCTTGGTCCATGGCAGGCCTCGGCCCGTCCTTCTCCTGCCCCACTCCTCCTCCTCCTCCTCCTCCTCCTCCTCCTCTTCCTCCTCCTCGTCCTCGTCTTCCTCCTCCTCCTGCTGCAGCCTGGCGGGCCTGCGGACACCCCCGTTCACCTCCAGCCGCAGCGGGCGCAGGCTCGGTCTGGGCCCAGCGTTCTTGGGCAAAGCTGCGATCTGTACTTCCTCCACAGGGGACGGGTGGCCGGGTGAGGCCTGGCTGTCTTTGGGAGCCTTGGGCTTAGACTGGGGTGCGAGGGAGGCGTAGACAGGTGTGGCCAGGCGGTAGGGTTTACTGACATCACAGAGGACGTCTTGAGCCAGCAGTTCCCTCAAAATGGAGAACTCGGCCCAGGAGGCTTTGGCAGGTGGCCGGGGTGGGGCCCGGGGTCTGGCCTGCCTGGAGGGGCTGCTGCCGGGCTGGGGGGCTGGCTCGGGGGCTGGCGGGGGCAGCTTCCTCGGGGGGAGGCAGTAGGTGTGCATGTAGCGGATGAGCTGCACCATGGCCTGTGTGTCCTTCGGGGAGACCTGGCCTCTGGGGTCTGCTCCACCCAGCACCAGGGAGGCCAGGGGCGAGGCAGGAGCTGGCTGGGGGCTCAGGCAGTCCTCCCCCGGGGCCTCGTCCTCCCTGGCGGGCAGCAGGGGGCTAGGTGGGGGTGGCGGCAGGCGGCTCTCCGGGGAGCAGGCCCTGGCCTGTGGGCAGGACAGCTCCGAGGTGAGGTGCCGGTGCAGTTCTGTGCAGCTCCGGCTCTGGGACTGTGTCACGGGGGCCCTCCTCTCATGGGTGCTGTCCACCTGGAGACAGAACAAGCCAGAGTGAGGGCGAGGTCCACACTGCCCCTCCCCTCTGCCCATCCCGGTGGCCGCTGGCTGGCCCTGGGTGTCTCACCAGGATCGGGGGAGCAGCTGGGTTTCCGTCACCCCCAGCTTCCCCAGAGCTTGGCACCTCTGTGTTCCACGGGTGAGGCATGGAGAAGTGACCAGCCTCCTCACAGCTCCAGGCCCTGGAAGGTCGCCCCGAGGACCCTAAGGCTCACCGCTAGAGCCTGCTCTGACCACACTGATCCCTGCTCTTTGTCCTTTGTAACCGAGCCAGGGAGGCGATTTGTGGTGGCCTGGGGCTGGGGAGGGCTCTCTGTGACCGGGGCTCAGGCAACTTCTGGGGTGAAGGATGAGTTATAAAGCTGGATTGCAGTCATGGCTGCACGACTAGAAACCACAGCCTCATCCTTTTGAAACAGGTGGCTTTTAGGTATGGAAATAGTACCACGATAAGGTTGTTTAAAGAAAAATTCAGGCTGGGCGAGGTGGTTCACACAGCACTTTGGGAGGCCAAGGTGGGAGGACTGCTTGGGCAACATAGGAGTTCGAGGCCAGCCTGGGCAATATAAAAATGAGACAGGCATGGCAGCATGCATCTGTAGTCCCAGCTACTCAGGAGGCTGAGGGGGAAGGATCGCCTAAGCCCAAAAGGTTGAGGCTGCGGTGAGCCGTGATTGTGCCACTGCACTCCAGCCTGGGTGACAGAATGAGACCCTGACTCAAAACAAAACAAAAAAGACAAAAAGAAAAAATCCAATAGTCCCCAGTACCCTGTCTACCCTAGACCAGTCAGTCCCTCCAGCCTCGTGCACACATGTCCACACAGGGCTCCCAGCAGAAGCTGTCTGGCATGTCTCACCTCTTGGGGAGCTTCCTGGGCCCCCATGAGGCCAGGGGCTACCTCACAAAGGCGCCTTGTTGCTGTCCCCAGCAGAAGGGAGACATGAGGCCAGAGACCAGCCGTGACACGCGGGGGATACAGGGCGGGGCCGCCACTCCCCAGGGAGCGCGGGGAGGGAAAAGCTCCCAGGCTGAGCCCATGAGAGGGACCTGAGTCTGCCTCCGAGGGTGAGACCGTGGGCAACGGCCCTGGGAGGAGGTCCAGGGACCAAAGGGGAAGGGACCAAAGGGTGGCCCCAAGAACAGCAGCCCTGGGCCACCGGTACCCCTCTCCTGATTGGGCTTAGAGGATGGGGCCCACAGAGGAGAGATGTGCCTCGACCCCGGGTGTCTATGATAGGGCTTTAAACTCTCCAAGTCGTCACAGAAAAAAAAAAAATCCAAGCTCTTTTTTTGCAGACAGGCTGGAGTGTAGTCGTGCAATCATAGCTCACTGCAGCCTCGAACTTCTGGACCTAAACAATCCTGAGAAGCTGAGGCTACGGGTACCACCACACCCAACTAATTTTCAAAAAAATTTTGTAGAGACGGGGTCTTGCTATGCTGCCCAGACTGGCCTCAAATGATCCTCAAACCTCAGCCTCTCAAAAGCATTGGGATTACAGGCCCGAGCCACCGTGCTTCAGCGCAAAACTTTTGATTTCCTGTGACCTCCACAACCAGCCAGGATCTTGTGTCTGGCTCTGTCACACCACAGAATAGGCCCCAAGGGTTGGTCACGCCTTCCCTAGCACAGTTCTCACCTGTGCTGTTGTTTAACAGTGTCTGGGACCCTGAAGCATGAGAAACTCTGAGGTCATTCTAGAACCCCAAACTGGGCTGTGTCTCAAGCGGCCATGCCAGGAGACCAACCACAGGGGCTGTGGGAGGAGCAGGAAGAGCAACGAGACGCTGACTGAACCTGATACCCCTCACCAGGGCTGAAGGCTGCCTCCCCGAGGTCACCCAGGGGGATGGGCACTCCAGGGCATGTGGAGAAATACCTTGACACAAGGCCGCTGAGTTCTAGAGCGGAGACCTGCCTGGCGCGAGGCCGTGCCCTCCTTCTGGGTGTCGGGGCTGGACGCCGGGCGGGACGTGGCGAGGAGGAGCTTCTGCAGCTGGGGAGGAGCAGAGGACAGGAGCTAGGCGCGCCATGGCCAGAGGACATGCCCAGCGGCCAGCCCCTCCAGGCGGAGTGTGCCCTGACCTGTACTGTAGGACCCTGGGGAGGACACGGAAAGCACCTCGTGATGGTCTCCAGATCCAACATGCCAACAGCAGTGTGTCCAGCAATCTCACACACACTCATGTGGACGTCCCTGGGACACGCAAATCCCTTCCAAGTCCATAACCTTAGGGAACAACTGCAACTCTGAGAAACCCAGACAGGTCTTGGGTCACGGCTGTCCATTCTGCCGTCTGCATTTTCCTGGGACACACTCCACACGCACACACAGTGGGGAAGGCTGGGGCTAGAATGGCTCTCGGTGTGGGATTTCAGCCGATTCCCCTCTCATTCCTTTTGCTTATTCATATACTACCTTTTTAAAAAAAACAACTTCTTAAGCAAGTCATACTTGTAAAGGGTAAGAAAAAAGACGTATCACAAACACTAAAGGGCAGACAACTGGAAGCAAGTCTGCCCTACCCAAAGCCCCTCTCTCCTTCCTGAGCGACACCATCAGCCACCCTCTTGTGAGTCTGTTCCAAGGTGGGCTCTGGCCACACGGGATTATCTGTGCCATACTCCCTCCAGTTCAGCCTCCATTTTGCACAAGCAGAGGAAAGCTACACTTCAGCTTGGCTGATGTTCTTCCAACTAATTTTTCTATAAAAATCATTGACCCTCTTCTGTTGCTGGCCCCTGGGGGTAGGCCCACAGAGTACTGCAGCTGAGTGACTGGAAGGTCAAATTCATCTGAAGTTCACCAGGTCCTGGCATAGCCAAGGTCGAGGACAGTGAGATTTTAATGCAGCACTGAGTGTCTCCTCGGGGGACAGACCACCTAGTCACCCCAGCAAGGAGTGCCAGAAAAAGGCCACTCCACACTCTCAAGGAGTAGAAGGGTCCTCACCACCCACCCAGACCCCAACCAGCACCCACGTGCTTGGAACTCTCTGACTCTGGACAGCAAAAGACGCTGGACTGGAGAGACCTTGTCCAGCCCAGCCAGGCTCAGCTCACCACGAGAGCCTAGGCACAACTTCCTAGGCCTCGGCTTCTTTGTTGGCACGGCAGGCAGGTAGATGAAATGACTGGATCTTTTTATTACTCTAGGAATACAACAGGAGCTGCTGACCTCAGAAAAGCACAGATATACAGAGGTCCACAGGGAAGTACATGGTGGACTCTGGGCTCCATGGCCCAAGCTGGTGTCTGAGTGGCTTCTTGGGGCCTTTCTAGAACTCTGTCGATATGCTGGGAGTCTAGACAGCAAGTCTGTTTCCTGTGTACCTGGCACAGTGCCTGACACATGTGCTCAGGACACATGTGTGGCAGGAAGGCAGAGCCAAAGGCATGGGAGGGACGCAAGTTCTGACCAGCAGGGGTCCCTCTTTGCCTCTCTGAGGCGGCGTGCAGCATTGGCACCAAGATGCCTCTCGTCACTAGTAGTGGCTGAGCCAGAGTACTTATTGCTTAGTTAGTGTTTATCGAGCTCCCGTAGGTTCCAGGCCCTGTCGCCCGTGTTGTCTGCTGTCATCCTTCTCCCAGCCTGGACACGGGCACTATTACTAACCCACTTTACAGATCGGCAGCTGAGTCGTGGAGAGGTGTGGGTTTGGGCCTAAGTAACACACAAGCACTAGCTGGCGGGGCTGGGATTCGAACCCAGGTGGTCTGATTCCAGTGTCAAAGTGCAAGACCCATAGGTGGGCTAGGAGGAGCTACAGCACGGGCCAGAGTATGTCCCAGCACATGCAAGGGCTGACTCAGCGTCACTCTACTCTGGGCACTTCCTGGAGGCGGTGGAAAGGGAGAGAAAGGGGCCCAGATGGGAGTTCTAGTCTCTGCTGGCACTCAGACCTGCTGTGTGGCTGGGGGAGATGCCTTCCCCACTCTGGGCCTCAGTCTCCCCAGTCAGGCTTGACGGTCACCAAGGATCTTTCCAGCTCAGACGCTCCATGACCCAAGACCCCTCCCAGCCCAGCAGAGTCCCGCCACCTCCAGGGTTCACAGTACCAAGGGGGGTGGGGTGGTGCAAAACAGACCAAGCAGAGCTGGACTTCAAACCCCACAAGAGAGTGCAGCTCAGGGCACCCCAGCCTGAGCCCAGGGCAACTGTTCTCAGGTCTCCCGCATCCAGACTCCTGTGAAAATCCAGCAACAGCTGACTCTTCTCTCCCAAAAGGCCGCGGTCCCACGTGCACACGAAACGCAACTCACGCAGCATTACCATTTAATGTCCGCTGGTGGGCGCAAGGCCAATCAGCCCCGTTGGAGGGCACTCTGGAAGTTTCTGTCTAAACTGGAAAACCACGTATCTGCAGACCCAGGAATCACATCTCTAGGAATCCCTCCACTTACGCATTGCAAAGGCCCTGAGGACGGCCACTGCAGCACCATTGCCACAATGTGGGAGTTGAAACCACATAAATGCCCGTCACCGCGCCCCACCAGGGAACACTACACAGGTAACACAAAGAACGAAACAGAGCACTGCATGTTCTCCTGGAAGCTCATCCCAGACTCACAGCTAACTGAGAAAGCAGAGAGCAGAAAGCATCCACGGGCAGGCTTCCTTGGTAGAGAAAAAGCAAGATGGCAGAGATAGGTCACACAACAGCTCGGTCACCATGGTGACCTCCAGAAAGTTGCAGCAACTGGAGAGGGCTACAGAGGTCTGCTTCTTAGTGTCCACGTTTCCTATTTGGATTTTTACTGTGTGCACAGAATCTTTAAGAAAACATTTGCCTGTCATTTCAAGGATTGAACACACAACTAGGTCAATCCTTGAAACCCCCAAAAGCCTGTGGAAGACAGTTGAAGCCTCTGCACTGATACCAGCGGGAAAGGTATCCCAGTGGGAAAGGCAAGGCCAGGGGAGGCTCTGTGTGAGCTCAGGCTGCCAGTGGTGCCCAGGGACCCTGAAGGGCCGGAGCGACTGTCCTGTTTCCCACTCCCAACGAGACATCCAACCGCAGGCTGCAACCACCGCTTCTACCGGAAGGAGGTTCTTACCAGTGAGCGTTCATCCACCTCAGGGGTCGGGGGCTTCTCCCTGGCAGGGCTGGGCGGCGCTGGTGAGGGTGCAGGGGAGACTGAGGCACAGGACGCTGTGTCTCCACCATCCAGGGCTGGGAAGGCGGCCAGACCCACGCCATCATCAGGGATGTCATCCAGGGTCTTGGTGAGTTCTGCCAGGAGGGCCTCATTCTCACTGTCAATCTGGGATGCGCAGGGCAGAGGTTAGTCACCGCCTTGGACTCAGTCCACCCAGCTGGGCCACCACCACCTTCCGGCCACATCCTCCCCCAACAGAGCTATCCGTGTTGCTGGGACAGCAGATACTCCATAAATGTATGGCCAGCTCCAATAATCCCAGCATTTCACGAGCAGGCAGCAGGTGATCATGGGAAGGGCCCTGCCCGCAATGCCCAGGTTGGGCCCTGCTGCTCAGCACGTGTGTTGTGGGCACAGGGCCATCTGCTGAGTAATGCCTGCCTCCCCTACCAACGATGAGGCTGGTCTACAACACAGCAGCACCCTATAGCAGGCCTGGCCCCTCTGACCCAGAGCCCAGGCCGGGTGAGGCTGGGAGTTCCAGGGCCAACACGACCGTGACAACCATGGCACGAAAGAGCACCATCCCTAGGGTCCTAGGGCCTCCTCACCTTCCATGGAGAGGTGGGGAGCGGTTGGCTGGGCCCTTGGGCTGAGCGGGAGTTGTATCCCAGGCCCCGTTTAGCAATGGTGGGTCCTTGGGCAAGTTAGTGTTCTCATCTGCCCAGCAGGGTGACAGACAGTGCACGTTTCATAAGGTTATGGCTGAGCATGGGTGCATGAGCAGAGGCAGGCTATACAATATGCAGCTTCTGGCTCGCAATAAACACTCGCTACCAGCCAGGCTCGGTGGCTCAGACTGTAATCCTGCGCCTTTGGGAGGCTGAGGTGAGTGGATTGCCTGAGCCCGCGGGTTCGAGACCCGCCTGGGCAGCGA